AGCTTGCTAGGCAGGCACTTACCACTTGAGCCATGCCTCCTGCCTGTTTTTGCCTTGGTTAATTTCAAGGGTAGAGTCTCACTTGATGCTCAAGCTGGCCTGGGCATACTTGTCTTTCCCTATGTCCCTGGGCCCAGCCACTGTGCTTCTCCCATTGCTGTGATAACAGGCATGCATCACCACATCCAACAATGGTGGAGATGGAGTCTCATTAATGTTTATACCCAGTTGGACTCGATCTCCTCCTCAAATTGCTAGGATTGCAGGCTTGAGCCACTACACCCAGCTTCTTTTATACTTCTTTCAAGTAGTGCTAGCAACCCCCCACACACAAAGCTGTACATACACAAATACACACACTCATTGACACATCCACAGTGCAGGCAGATGGAGACTAGGGCAGGTGCATTAGGTTGGTTCTCATAAATTCTTTACCACCTGCATTTTCTTTATTCTTTTTTTCAAATAATTAGAAGATAATGAAAATAATGTTTTTGTTTCTTTTCTTTTTTTTATTGTGAGAATATCATACAGAGGAGTTACAATTACATGGGCAAGATAACGAGTACATTTGTTATCTTGCATTGTTGCCTCCTCTTTGTTTCCCTTCCCCATCCCTTCCCATCCTCCCTCCACGTTCCCCCACCCAAGACCCTCAACAAAGTTGTAAAGTTCGTTTTTCTTTTTGTTTTTTTTTTCTGGGTCCGGTCGTGGGGCCTGAACTCTGGGCCTGGGCACTGTCCCTCAGCTCTTCAGCTCAAGGCTAGCGCTCTACCACTTGAGCCACAGCACCACTTCTGGTTTTTTTCTTTTTGCTTATGTGGTGCTGAGGAATCGAACAAGGCAAGCGCTCTACCACTGAGCCACCTTCCCAGCCCTAAAGTTCGTTTTTTGACATAACGACTTGTACATCTCATTGTTGCAATGGGTCTACCTGTATCCCTAGTTAAACGATTTGTTTTTGCCCTTCCCCTCCACAAATTATACCAACATCAAATACAGTGAAAGCAACCACCTACATTTTCTGACTTAACCAACTGACCTGTTCTAAGCAATGGGAAGATGGCAGTCATGACATAAATGATTGTTACTGCAACCCACTGTGTCTAGGAGTGGCTTGTTATACAGCATTACCCTGACAGTAACTAACTGATACAAGAGATTTTGTTTGGTTGCTTGTTTGGTTGGCTGGTTGTGACAGGGGTCTCATTTTATAGTCCAGGCTGGTGTAGAACTTACTAGGTATTTACAGGGCTGGCCTTGAACTCTTAACTCTTCTGATTCAGCCTTCTAGGTGCTGAAATTACAAGCATGTACCACAATGCCGATCAATACAAGAGTTTTTTATTGTCATTATAAAGGTGATATACAGAGGGGTTACAATTACATACGTCAGGTAATGAGTACAATTCTTTTTGGACAATGTCACCCTACAAGAGATTTTAACAGGATGGTTAGGATTGTTCCTTTGTCAAAATTATTAATAAAATCCTAGTGATAATAATTATCGTAAGTATAGGGTCCTGTATTCAAAATCAAATTCATGTGTACTGTGTAGGTAATGGAGTATAATGATCATAGCATCATCAATAGACCTGAGATTAGCCAGGTGTAGCAATCCCAACTCTGAGAAAATGGAGGCAGGAGGATCAAGAGTTCAAGGCCAACCTGGATTACATAATAAGACCCTTGCAGAAAGTGGGAGGAGGGGGGGAAGAGGGGATTAGGGAAAGGGAAGAGGGAGTAGGAAGAAAGAGAAAGAGGAGGAGAGGAGAAGGGAAGGGAGGGAAAGCAGAAGGAAGGAGGGAAAAGAGGAGGAAAGGAGGGAGGGAGCCATATGTCTATCATTGTTGGTCCATCTCTATCTGAAATTAATCTGAATTGTATTTACCTCCTTCTCCCACCCTCAGACACATGATAGAAAGTCCACAAAACCATTTCAAAGGACCAAATATAAGGTGTTTTTGTTGTTGTTCATGATGATGATGATTTTTGTTTTTTGTTTTTGTTAGTCATGGGGTTAGAACTCTAGGCCTGGGGACTGTCCCTCAGCTCTTTAGCTCAAGGCTAGCACTCTACTTCTTGAGCCACAGCGCCACTTCCAGTTTTCTGAGTGGTTTATTAGTGATAAGAGTCTCACGGACTTTCCTGCTGAGGCTGGCTTTGAACCACAACCCTCAGATCTTGGCCTCCTGAGTAGCTAGGATTACAGGCGTGAGCCACCTGTGCCTGGCTTGATGTTTTTTGGTGTACTGTATTGAAGTTCTTTTTTTTTCCTTCTTTTTTTTTTCTCTTTTTCCCTTTGGTTTATCCCCTGTAGTCACTGTGTTTGATTCTGGTACCTTGTGTCTGTATATGCATTTATCTGATATGAGGAAGGGAAAGGGAATAACAAAATAGTGAACAAAGGACAAAGGACAAAGAGTGAACCAATGCAACAGCGATACCTACAAAACACTGAATTGGAAATTCACTCTACAACCTGCAAGGGCGGGGGGAATGGGGGGGCTAGTCAGGAGAGAGGGAAATTGGGAGAAAAAAGAGGGTGGGGGTGACAATGTTTGACAAGAAAAGTACTCACTACTATGTAACTGTAAACCCTCTGTCCATTACCTTTACAACAAAATTAAATTTTAAAAGGACCAAATATACAAAAATACCCAGATTAATTATGCACGTATTAAGATATACAATTTCACATGCTGTAGAAATACAAGCACATCTTCAGTAGATGAGGAAGCGTGGCTGAGTCTATGGGCATCCACTCTGCTGTCCCGGGCTCCCCTTCCTGCCATCAACATTCCTTCACACGCCCTTCCTGTTTTGAGCAGCGGAACAAGAACAATACAAAGGTGGCCTGGTTCACACAAGGGCCCTTCCAGCTTCCACAAATGGGCTTTCATTTCTCCTCAGGCCCAAGACATTGGCCTTGACTGCCCAGCAGGTGAGGACATCTGAGGTCAGCCACCATCCCTCCCACAGAGCAGAGCCAGCTACTGCCCAACCAAAACAAGAAGCATTGGCAGAGAGGCAGGAATGTGGGACAGGGGACAATGGCCTTAGGAGGGCAGCAGGACATGGGTGGAATAATTTGTGCAGCCTCTTCCAAGGCTGCTGTCAGATTATGCTTCCTTCAGGAAAAGCACGGGGCTTTAATTGGAAGAGACCATGCTGGTCCTGGGAAAAAAATAGTGAAATACGGTTGTTTTTCTCTGTGATTATCAGCCAGGCTGAGAAAACTTCAGGGACATCAAGGGACCCATTCCAAAGGGGTTGTCGAACCTCACAGAGCATTAAGAACTACATGGAATTTCATCAGACATCTCAGAAGTCTCTGACATCGAAGGTAAGACAAATTTTTTTTAAAGAAAGCACGAACTTGGGGCATATGCACACCTGTAATCCCAGCACTGAAGAGGCTGTGGCAGGAGGACTCTGGGTTCAAGGCCAGTCTGAAGTACAGAACAAGACTCTATCTCAAGCCTCATGCTTGTAATCCAAGTTCTCAGGAGGCTGATAGCTGGAGGACCTCAGTTCAAACCAGTCAGGGCAGGAAAAGCCTAAGAAATTCTATCTTAAATTAACCAGTAAAATGTTAGACTGGGGTGGTATGCCTCAAGTGGTAGCATACCAACCATGAGCAACCCCAGCATTGGCACAAAAAAAGAGGGAGGGGCGTTTTAGCTGGGCACTGGTGGTAGCTGGCTCACACCTGTAATCCTAGCCTCTCTGAAGGCAGAAATCTGAGGATAACAGTTCAAAGCCAGCCTGGTCAGGGAAGTCCATGAGATCCTTGTCTGCAATTAATCACAAAAAAAAAAAAAAGCTGGAAGTAGAGCTGTGACTCAGGGTGGAAGAGAGCTTAACCTTGCGCACAAAAGCACAGCGACAGTGCCCAGGCCCTGCACGACAGAGACAGAGAGAGCAGTTATCCAAATGAGTTGACAACGTGTGTGCGCATGAACACCTCCACACAGCTGTTCACACCTTTATTTGCAAGTATTTATTTCAAAACTTTGAAGCCGTCAAGACGTCCTTCCAGAGCTGAATGGATAAACAGCGGTACGTTCAGCCCATAGGACATCACTTGGCACTAAAAAGAAATGAGCTTCCAACACATGGAAAGACAGAGACGAGCTCCGAATGTGTATTCGCGAGCTGAAGAAGCCAGTCTGAGCAGACTGACAGGTGCATCTGGTACAGATGTGCACCTAGAAAAGATGTGCACCTGGTACAGATGTGCACCTGGTACAGATGTGCACCTGGTACAGATGTGCACCTGGATTTGTTTCTCAGGCCGACTCAGAGCTGATGAGATCTGTGCTTCCTCCGCAGGAGAAGATCGACCTTTCCTCCGGAGGAGGCTCTGCATGTACTGTCATTCCCATAGAATTTTCCACGATGACCAATTTACTCACGGGGCTCAAATCCCTGCATCCTCCTTTGCTCCGCCCCCGTTTCCCTTAACCACGCCCCCACCTCCACCGAATCCCGCCCCAGCCCTTCAGACCTTACTGCTTTCTGAACCCACACCTCAGCTCTGGCCCTGCCCAGTCACCGTGCGCTTAGCCGCAGGCCCCGCCCCACCAGGTCCCGCCTAGCGTGGGACACACCACTACAGACCACGCCCTGTCCACAGTTGTGTCGCTGCTTCAAGTCCTGTCCTTAATAGGACCCTGCTCATCGCAGCTACAGGCCCCGCCCTAGCCATGGCCCCGCCCATCATGGGGTGGTGCGCCACCTCAGGCCCTGCCCATCCATGGGTTGCGCGGCTACAGACCCCGCCCATCGTGGGGTGCGCCCCCGCAGGCTCCGCCCATCCTCAGGGTGCGCCGCTATAGGCCCCGCCCAGCCGTGGGGTGCGCCGCCGCAGGCCCCGCCCAGCCGCGGGATGCATCGCCGCAGGCTCCGCCTCAGCCGCGCCGGTCGGCGGGTGACGTGCGTGCCCGCTGCGCTCGTGCGCTCCGCCAGCGCGTCCTCATCACCCTACGCAGCCCCAGCGTTGGGCTGTGCGTCGCCCAGGCGGGACGGCGGCCCGAGGCCTAGGCCCGAGGTATGTTCCCGGGGGCGTACGGGGGTGAAGGTGCGGGTCGGAGACCTCGCGAGGACCCTCGCGAGCGCTGGCCGGCCGTTACGGACGCGGTCACCCTGCCCGTGCGTGGCGGGCGCCGGCGAATTCTTGTTGCGCTCTCCCCCGGGCTCGCGCGAGGCGGTGGCCTCCGCTTCCCGAACGCGCTCGGGAGACCCGCGGAGCGAGGAGGGCCGGGCGGCCCGAACGCGGGCTGGACGCGGGGTGGCCGGGAGGGCGCGCCCCGATGGACCCGGCCTGCTCCCTCCTAGTCAGACCGGGGACCGGCGAGGATGGACGGGGAGAGGCGGCCCGCGCCGGGCCCGCCCGCCGGGAGCCTGCTGGCCGACGGACACCTGGTGCTGTGGACGCTGTGCTCGGTGCTGCTGCCGGTGTTCATCACGTTCTGGTGCAGCCTCCAGCGCTCGCGCCGGCAGCTGCACCGCCGGGACATCTTCCGCCGGAGCCAGCACGGGTGGCGCGACACGGACCTGTTCAGCCAGCCCACCTACTGCTGCGTCTGCGCGCAGCACATCCTGCAGGGCGCCTTCTGCGACTGCTGCGGGCTCCGCGTGGACGAGGCCTGCCTCAAGAAGGCGGACAAGCGCTTCGCCTGCAAGGAGATCATGCTCAAGAGCGACGGCGGCGGCCCCGACGCCGCCATGCCCCACCACTGGATCCGCGGCAACGTGCCCCTGTGCAGTTACTGTGTGCTCTGCAAGCAGCAATGCGGCTGTCAGCCCAAGCTCTGCGATTACAGGTGTGTATGTCCCGGCGCGGGCGCTGCGTCGCGATTGCCTGGTAGACCTGAGCTCCTCTTGGCACAAATGGCGCGAGGCCCTCACTTCACCTCCCTGATGCTGTGCGTTACGCTCCTGATACTTGCAGCTCTGCAAAGTTGCAGAGATGAAGCCGGGCACCGGTGGCTGATGCCTGTAATCCTAGCTACCCCAGGAGGCTGATAACCTGAGGATCGTGTTTTGAAGCCAGCCTGGGCAGGAAAGTCCATGAGACTCCTTATCTCCAGAAGTAGAGCTGTGGCTCAAGGGATAGAGAGTACTACTAGTCTTGAGAGAGAGAGAGAAAAAAAAAAGCACAGGGACAGTGCCTATTCCCTGAAATTCAAACCCCAGGACTGGCAAAAAAAAAAAAAAAAAATGCAGAGATGATGCGTGTAGTCTCTACTCTAGCCAAAATGTTAAAAAAAAAAAATGTGGTTCTTTCATGTACGTGTAGCTTAAGAGCTGCTTGATTTGTGGCCATGATTTCTTCAGTTTACATAAGGAAAAATGAAGCACTTTAACTTTCAGCCACAGACAAGTGTTATTGAAGCATGTTTTCAAATGTTTTTTGCTAATATTGGTGGCCTAGTGAAATACACCCAAAAAGCAGCCTGAGAGGAATAGTTCCTTTTTTTGGGGGGGGTCCGGTTTTGGGGCCTGAACTCTGGGCCTGGACGCTGTCCCTCAGCTCTTCAGATCAAGGCTAGCACTCTACCACTTGAGCCACAGCGCCACTTCTGGCTTTTTTTTTTTGCTTATGTGGTGCTGAGGAATCGAACCCAGGGCCTCAGGCATGCAAGGCAAGCACTCTACCACTGAGCCACCTTCCTAGCCCTAGGAATAGTTCCTATGACATGATCTTCCAGAACTATAGCATCTTAGATAAGAGAACTTGATTAAGCCAAAAATATTGGTGGCTTCTTTATACACATAATCTTTATATACCAAACAGCATATTTGTGATGTGAATTACTGTCTGAAATCAGTGTTGATATCCTTTTGTTGTTAGAGATTGGTAACAAGCAGTGGTGCTTTGCAAATTATTGATCTTAACTCATTTCACATTGAGAAAACTGAAGGTAAAGTAGAATTGGCTTCCAGGATTTCTAACACCCAGAATAGAATTAGAAACATTAATACCTAGCCTCCTCTTTGCCTTAAGTCTAGACATCTTCCTTGTCATAGATTTTTATTTATGATGAGTGGAAAGACCCATAAACATACTGAAAGTAGAAAACTGGCACTGTTTGGGCAGCTACTTTTGTTGTTCTTTATTTTTTGCATGACAGTGTGTGTGTATGTGTGTGTGTGTGTGTGTGTGTATACACAAGTCCTGGGGCTGGAACTCAGGGCCCACAGTGCTGTCTCTGAGCTTTTTTTGCTCAAGACTTAGCACTTTATCACTTGAGCCACTGCTTCACTTTCAGCTTTTTTGATAGTTAATTGGAGATAAGAGTCTCACAGACTTTCCTGCCTGGGCTGGCCTCAAACCTCAATCCTCATATCTTAGCCTTCTGGTAGCTAGGATTACAGGTTTGAGTCACTAGTACCCAGCAAGCTGTTCATTTTTATACAGTAAATTTTTATACTGTAAAATTCTTTGTGGCCTTCTTGTCTTTGGTGAGTGCTGCAAACAGTGACCAATATCTTGAATTTACTATTGGTATATTTCCTTCCCTTCTCTGTGTGCAGAATGAGATAAAAATGGCTCCATGGGCCAGGCACAGTTGGCTCACACCTGTAATCGTAGCTATGCAGGAGGCTGAGATCTGAGGATCTCAATTCAAAGCCAGAAAAGTTCATAAGATTTTTATCTCTAATAAACTAAGAAAAAGTTGGTAGTGACGATCTGGCTCAAATGGTAGACCGCTCACCTTGAGTAAAAGAAGCTTTGGGACAGCATCCCTGAATTCAACCCCCAGGACTGAGGGGAAAATGGCTTGCATGAAACTGATTATTCCTGTGCCATCCCCCCCCTCAAAAAAAAAGCTCCCATGAACACTTTAATTGTGCTGCAGATATTCCTTCACAGATAACCTAAGTGCTTTTGATTCCAGATCATTTAAAATTGCAATCTAGGCAAATCCCTGCGCTGCCTAAAACCTTTTCAGTGTTCCTCATCACTCACAGCAGTGACCTAATGTATAGGTTCCAAGTGCTAACACAGCATTCCAGACCTCAGTGCTCTTTGCCTTGGTGCTTTTCTAGGCTCACTTGACACTACCTGCATGCACCAGTACATACCAGCAATACCTGGTTGTAGTTTCCTTAAAATATCAGGCTGTTTCTTACACTCTTCTTTTTCACAAAGCTTTCCTCTCTTAGCATCCTCCTAGCTAGTGCCTGAGTACCCTTAAGAGCTGTTAGCTTTCTTCTAGGACCCCTTACCTGGTTTACTCATCTTCCTTTCCCCACAAAATTTTTCCTGATGATGACTTAATAATTTGTATCTTTGGGGTTTCAAAGTAAGGTCCCTGAATCTGTTGGAAGTGAAAATGAAAATAAAATGTTTGTAATGTTTAAGATGTCTGCCCCGCAAAAATGTATTTTTCCTGAAACACATTTTCCTGGGCTTCCTGCTTTTATCTAGCCCCATTCCATACCTACTGAATCAGAAGCCTGAACTAGAGATAAGCAATCTTTGTCTTAACAGGTAATTCTGACATTAGGAACCATGGCTATGTCAATCTTTTAAAAAAAAACACACACACACACAAAAAAAAAAACATGAGCCTCTGTCTTTTTAGTGCACTGGATTGAGCACAGTAGGTATTTGTAATGATAGGTCAGGTCACCTTGTCCTCATTAATGTGCTCTTACAGGTTACTGAGCAATCTGTTCCCAGCACGCTACACCACTCACCCATGGTAAAATAGTCTTCATATAATTTAGGAAGTGTTTATTTTCAGGAGAACAGAGCACACTGTCCTGAAGTTGTACATATTCTACAATGTTCTGAACTGGTTTATTTTAGCCAATGATTTCATTATGATGCATTGTAATTTCATCAGAATTATAGTCTGCCATAGAAATGAGATATTTTGGAGAGAGAAGCAAAACATCACTGTTCAGATCCTTTGAACACAAACCAGACTATCCCTCTTGGGTTTTGTCCAGCCTTGGCACAGACTCTTTCTCCGTACCTCACTCTTAGAGAAGTTGCTGAATCCTGGAGACTGGTCAACAACTTAGTATTTCAAAGGTGGTGATGACAGGTGGTGACTGATTCTGAAATTCTTTTAAATTCTGTCAGAAAAAAAGTGCCAAAGGTGTTGCACTTGTTGGGCATCTATTTTGTGCCAGACATTGTGCTAGCATCTACTTCCGTAGACTTGTTTCCTTTTTGTATGTTCCTGTGTCTACCCAACCACTACAGTACGATTCTACGGGTACTCTTATCACCTCTGCCCTAGCCATCCCTTTGTTCTTTCACCTCTCTTGTGATCAACATAAGGCACTAGGCTAAATTTAAATACTCATTAAGTAAATCTGTCTCCCTGTACAATTCTCTCTCAGTAAGGGAAGGAAATGTAGTGTTACATGTTTTGTCAAGCTTTTTCTTCATTCCACCTACACACTCACCCCTGTGATCAGTAACACAAAAGCTTCTGGCCCAAGCCTTAAAAGAATACATTGGCCACTTTAGCTTCAGATTTATCTTGAATTTTCTATTTCTGTATTCAGTTGTTAAATGTATTTGATTTTATGTGTCTGTATTTGATTAAATGACCCACACCTGTAATGCAAGCACTTAAGAGGAAGAGGATAGTTTGAGGCCAGCATGGACTACCTAGTGAGTTCTAGGCTAGCAGCCAACACAGCATAGTGAGTACATGGTAAGAGGGGGAAAATTTTAGGGGTGTAATTAAAGTGCTTGCCTAGAACGCACAATGCCCTGGGTTTGATCACCAGCATTTCTGAGAGCCCACATGCTGTTGTAAAGAAACAGCTTTTTAGAAAAAGTAATAATTATCATTGCCAGGAAAGGTTCTTACTTACTAAAGTTTCCTTTTCTTTTCTTTGTTGTTGTGGGGCTTGAACTCAGGGCCTGGGCACTGTCCCTGTGTTCTTTTGCTCAAGTCCTGCACTCTAGTACTTCAAGCCACAGCTCCACTTCCAGTTTGTTGGGGATTAATTGGAGATAAGATTCTCAGATTTCCTGCCTGGGCTGGCTTTGAAGTACAATCTTCAGATCTCAGCCTCCTGAATAGTTGGAATTACAAGAGTAAGTCACCAGCTCCAAGCCTGCAAGAGACTTCAATCTCCAGTCAATGAGCAAAAAGCCAGAAGTATAGCTTTGGCTCAAGTGGAAGAGCAAAAAAGCTCAGGGAATTGCCTAGGCCTGAGTTCAGGCCCCAATACCAGCACACACACACAAATGTTATTAGAAAAGGGGCTAGGTACAGTGGCTGACACCTGTAATCCAAGCTTCTTAAGACATGAGATCATGAAGATCATGATTTGAGACCAACCCAAGAAAAAATAAATAAATATGTTAACCTTATTCCTTTAATCCCAGCTACACAAGAACCCGAGTCTTATAGGTAGTGTTGTAGTCAGAGGAAAGTCCTGGGCAAAAAAATCAAGTCACCAAAATAAATAGCTTACATAACTTATAGTATGTCTACATGATATGATATCCATTCTTTACAAATCATATTTTTAAATAGTAGCATATGAAAATATTCATGATTGGGCTGAGCATGTGATTCAAGTGGTAGAGCACTTACCTCATGTGCTCAAGGCCCCAGTTCTAAAAAAGAAAAGAAAAAACAAACATGGTATGATGTAGGAAGAAAAGCAATAACCAAATCTTGTCCCTAACCTGAAAGATACTATATGAATCATGAAATGGAGAAAAATTAAGCTTCTAGCTTTAGATGATTCTTATTTTATATCTTTCTATGTTTCAAAATTGTTAACCATCACAAAGTATTATTGAAAATTTAATTTTAAAGTTTTATTCAAGAATTTCATGTATATATTCTGGGTTTTAAAATATGAAATGTAGGGGCTGGGAAGGTGGCTCAGTGGTAGAGCGCTTGTCTTGCATGCATGAGGCCCTGGGATCGATTACTCAGCACCACATAAGCAAAAAGAAAAAAGCCTGAAGTGGTGCTGTGGCTCAAGTGGTAGAGCACTAGCCTTGAGCTGAAGATCTAAGGGACAGCGTCCAGGCCCAGAGTTCAGGCCCCATGACCGAACCCCCCATAAAAAAGTAAAATATGAAATGTAAATTGAAATGAAAGCAATGCAAAAGAATTGGGTGAAAAGTTAATATTTTCCCTTCTCATCAGTCCTTCTTTCCTTGATGAGGAAACCATTGTAAATAATTCAGATTACATTCAATAAAGACTATTTTTAAGGTGTGATCCCCTATCACATGGCCACCATGCTGCTAGACCCAAGTTAGGAGGCTGAAACTAGGTCCTGATACAAGGGCAGCACCTTCTGAGTGGGAATCCACATGACTCCCCAGAACGAGTCCCTTTGTGTAGTGCTTGTCTCTGTGATGGTGGTGCCTTGTGTATGTATGGGATCTAGTTACCAGTTAGACAGAGCAGTCTTTAGTCCACCCCGTTAACAAGCTCACAATAAGATTTGACCTGATCTTCCACAAATAAATGTATTAGTGGCAATTAGAGAAAAAGATGTGCAATCTAATACTTTAGAGTTAATAGTAGGCTAATAAATGAAGGTATTAGACTTTATAGTTTTTCAAGATCAGTTTGAAAGTAAGTGTCAACAAATGTTATTTTTCCAAGTTATGTCATAATTTTCACTTTAATAGCAGTAAACAGCACTTTTTTCTTTAGCAATAAACAGCACTTCTGAATCAACTTGACCTATCTGAGGATCCAAAGGAAAAACATACCTTTAAAGTAGAAGGCAAAGATAGTATCTAAGCAAAAACAGCGCTTTTCCACTTAAAAAAAAAAAGAATGTTTTTAATTATAACCACTCTTTTCTGGTGACCTGCTTTTGTCTGTCTGGTCAGATCTGCCTCACTGGTAAGTAGATTAAATACTTAGCAGATTAATAATAGAATCCCCGGACATTACCAGCACTGTTCCCAAACAGTGACACCACACATAGAGGCGAATCTGAAAGTGCATGTTCTGCTGCCTGTATTTCAAAGGAAAAAAAAAATTTATATCAACTGCCAGAAAGAAATAGATTACTTCCTTTACTCATATTTACAAATTTATAGATGTCTAAGCTGGACCAAAGAACTTTTCAAGGCCCAGGCCAGGGACCATTGAGGCAGTAAGGACTATAGATTTCATGAACATATCTGAACCAAACTACAACTAACACAACCACTGTTCTAGGTCACCTTTATTTACGTGGATTATGTCTATTTACCATATTGCAATTAGAACTAAGAACTGTTAGAATATTTCTCATTTTTAAAGTAACAAATGTGTTTTCTGAAAAGTTAGTACATTTTTACACATTGCTTTGGCTTAGCAGCTAAATTTTCCTATCTGCTTCTGTAATAGCACATGACATATATCTTCCAGAAAACACCACTGAATGCTTCTGGGAGGACGAGGGTAAAACAATGGCTTAGTATTTTTTTTAATTTTTTTTATTTTATTTGTGAACATACTGTACAGAGGGGTTACAATTACATGGGCAGGATAATGCGTACATTTCTTACCAAGCATTGCAGCCTC